ATCTAATTAACTTCATGCCATTCGACGGAAAGCGCTCACCCACTCAACACCTAATTTACTTCAAGTTTCACCTTGGTGTGATCTCTGGCAATGAACCTTTGATGATACGGTCATTTGTTGGCACCCTTCGCGAGGTCACCTTCGATTGGTACCACCGTCTCAAGTCAGGAAGTATCAACAACTGGAACGGTATAGAAAACTCATTCCTCAACAACTTCTTTGACGATGACACCGAAGTGTCTATTGGAGCCCTTTTGGACAAGAAGCAAAAGGACATGGAGTCAATTGATAGCTATGTTAAATGCTTCCGTAACAAGGTAATAAATTGTAGGGATCCTGTCACAGAGGAATTCATTTTACAAACATACCACTACAATCTCTCTATTGATATACTGAAAGCCCTGAGGGTCGTGTCATCCACAACATTGAAAGAATTAAAATTATGTGGGGAACAGGCTGAACACTTTCTCAAAAAAAAAGCTTAAAAGAGGCCAACCAATGACTACCCCCCCCCTCGAACTCAAATTTTTCTTCTCGTGATAAGAGAAAGGTACCTGTAGCGGCTGTTAACGCTAATCAGATGTCACAACAGCAATCTCAGAAGCAGCGAAGGACTCCGAATTTGAGACTCAAAAAAAAGTAAAAATCACTCCTTTAAGGATGAAGAGGTTCTAGCTATCTTCAAACACCTCCTTGAAAATAACAAAATCAACCTGCCACCTATTACGAATCAGGAGGAAGCTAACAACACTTTAGATCCAAATTACTATGTGTACCACAGGAGGATCCTTCATCCCACCAAGACTTGTTTTACTCTCAAGAACAACATTCAAGCCTTGGTTGACGCTGACATCATAACACCGAAATGAGCCGCATGAGAACGGTTTCCTCTGATGAGTATAAGAGGTTAAACTGCTTCTCTCATTCCTCCGATGGGTATACGAAGTTAAACTGCTTTCCTTATTTCCAACAACGGGAAGTTCCTGGAGAATATTACTCTTAATATTCTTAAGGATAACCTAACAATATGGTCGAATACAATTGGATTTAGGTTCGCTAAAGAGCTGGGGGTGGGAATACCTTAATACGTTCCAATGAGAAGTTTCAGAAGAATGCTATGTATGATATTCTTAAGGATAACTCGAGATCAGCTGGTTATTTAAGGTGAAAACCAATCATCTGAATAATTCATCCTTAATCATAGATTAGAAGTGATTAAGAACCTACCATAATAGCTATTTAATCATTTCCAAGATGATTAAAACCCACACGCTGTGATTTTCTGAGCACTCTCTCGTCGAGATGAGATTCAATAACTTCATCCGGTCAATCTTCCCTCACGAAACTCACATAGTATAACTTTGGAGTGCTTGATGATTCATGGTCCTTCACCATAAAGTCCCTCACTGATCAAATTAACTGACAGTGGGTTCACCAAAACTCTTTCGGCTGAGTCCATCCAAACTTCTATTGTGCTGGTGCACTTAACACTCCCAATGTTAAAGTCTCAACACTGTATTAAAAAAATTCAAGATGCTGATCCATAGCAATCATCAAACCCCTTCGTGTTAGGTCCTAGCCACTTGACACTAAAAAACCCACTGAGTGATTTGTACGAGTCAACATTCCTAGTATTAGTTGTATCTTCACTCCCACTACTTCTTGGTCAAACCTCCTATAGTTAGGACTAAAGCCAAAATCCCCTCTCGATTCCTTTCATGAATGAGAGGTCAGCTTTTAAATTGAGTGATCAAACCTTTCTACAGTTAGGGTCGTCTCAAACCTCCTACTTGGTCAAACCTTCCTACAGTTAGGCCCAAAACTAGAGTTCCTTCTCGATAAACGAGAAATCCACCTTTAGATTGGGTAATCAAACCTTTCGACAATTAGGGTTACTCGAATGTTTTTTGATTCTTAAAGTGGAGATCCCACTTTAAGTTTCTTTTGTACCTGGAGATAGAATATAAAATTTTTTCTCTTCAGCATCGGGTTCGTCTTTACCCCAAGAGAAGACGCCATCTTCCAACACCAAAATCCATGCCATACGCGCATAGGAGACTTTATCTCGATCCCTAAATAGAGATAAGTCTACATCTAACACATGCCGTAGGGTGACCCGTTCCCGCAAAAATGACCAAATCTATATATTCAACACTGTAGCACAAAAATCCATGCCTTTCATACATGGGGAATTTTATCCCGAATCATAAGTAGGGATAATTCAGCGCCTAACACGCGTTACCGATTAGTCTTTTACCGTAAAAAGGATAAAAGCCCACTTATTCAACATCGTGACATGCCATAATTAATAACGTCAAAATCCGTACCTTACACGCATGAGAAATTTTATCTCGAATTCTAAATAGAGATAAGTCAATGTCTAACACGCGTTACCGGTTAAGCTTTCTCCATGAAAAGAATGTTAGGATTCACGTCTAGGGGATGTTATCTCATTCCCTAAATAGAGATAAGTCTACGCCTAACACGTGTTGTCAGTTAGTCTTTCCCCGTAAAAAGGACGAAGCCTATATGTTCAATATTATAGCATCAAGTCTAAGAGAGTTTATTCTCGTAGCACAACGTCACATGTGAAACATATTTAGATAATTTATATGCAAGCCCGATTCAAACAGTAATCACTAAAGGCATATCAAATCCGTTGATGACTGAGGGTTTGTCAAAAATCCTAAAGTCTACGCCTAACACGAGTTGCTAGGTAGTCTATTCCTGCGACAAATGACGAAGTCTATGTATTCGATATCATAACATAAAGTCTAAGAGAGTTCATTCTTTTATCATAACATCACCTGTGGAATGGATTTAAACAATCCATATGTTAGCCCGACTCAAACGGTAGTCGGTAAAGGCTCATCAAACCCGTTTATGGCTTAGGGTTTACCAAAAATCCTATAAATATTATAGTTATTTATTCTAAATAGAATGAGTAATCGTAATAAGGTACAAAAGTCACTGACGCACCAACTTCATCAGTCGGTCTCATGACTCAAACTCCTAGGAGTATATGAGTATAAACTAGCTCTTTCTGCTCCAATACCTTAAGAGCTTAAACTGTGTAGACTCCAGTTAACGTATGAGTATAAACTGTGTTTACGCCGGTTAATGTGTTACGATGAAGGTTAAACGCCAATCAACGTGTTGCAACGAAGGTCAACACAGGTCAACCCATTGTCATGAAGGGCAGCACCAACCAACGCATTGATAATTTCACCAAAACAAGGCTCAGATCAATTCCATGTCAAAGGATAATCCTTAGGGAGCTCAACCGCGATTCAGATATAAACTCTCGATGAAGATGATCAGTTCAACGTTGATTCAATGACATGAGCTAATTCAGATATCAACACACCACTCTCAGTTCAAGATTTTGATACTGTCAGATGATAAATACAGCATCAGAAGAATTTTAGCTATTCAACAAAATACTGAATAGACTAAAAGCTGAAGAAGTCGACGAATTAAAGGTTGGGCGTATCATAATCAAAGTATTCCAGGCTCCTCTATAAAAGAATAAGATGGAAATACTTTGGAGGGGTATCTGTAGGCATCAAAAATTACCTATAAGTCCCCGAACACAGCTTTAGACGACGAGCCGTCGAGCGACGAACCGTCAGACGACGTAGTGACGAGCCATCAAAACAACAAAGCAACGAACCATTAATGACATAGCAACAAGCCACCGGAATGGCAAAACAAGGGAACACGCACTCACCGGCCACCACCAAGTGGCTCGCACCCGGTCACCTCCAAGTGGTCCACACGTTCACCGGCCATCTCCAAGTGGCTCGCATGCTCATCAGCCACCTCCAAGTAGCCCGTATGCTCATCAACCACCTCTAAGTGGCCTGCGTACTCGTCAGTCATCTCTAAGTTAACGAAATACATGAAGCGAATCGGTGAAGCGTACAAATCAGTGAAACGACATAATACGCGTAACGGTGGTACAAGACCGAACCGGAAAAGCCCCAGACGGTCGAGTCGTATCAAAACGACTCGGCTAAGGCCAGGTGGCTTGGCCAAGGCCAAGCCACCACAGACGGTCGAGTCGTATCAAAACGACTCGGCTAAGGCCAGGTGGCTTGGCCAAGGCCAAGCCACCATAGGGTGGCTCGCACAATTTTGATCCACCGTAAGGTGACTCACGCCCAGAAGTGTCGAAAACATATTTTTCGATAGTTTTCTCGATATTCTTTCATTCCAAAACCTCCCTGACTGTTTGATATCATCTCTAAATGTGGTTAAGCAGTTATTAACTGAGGATAAAGTCAAATCATCAATTCCTATTCTAAAATGCTGCATCCGAAGCGTATAAATATAAGCCTAAGGTCCTATACGCAATAGATCTGAAATGGAGGCGAGGTGTTGTCCCTGCGAAAAGTGAATCACAAATTTCAGAGAGGCTAGTAGATCTTTGTGAATTTCTTCACCCAGACTGTGTTATACTAGGGTACCCTTTGAGAAACAGAGGAGAAGACTACATACACCGCAGACATCTGGATTTCAGAGATCTTATAGCATAAACTAAGAATTTGCTTCAAATTATCAATTCCACCACAAGCATTCAAAGCTTTATCTCTGGTTTTAATCAACTACTTCCACATCCACGAGTCCCCAGTTCTAGCATTCACATGCCAAACATCCGAGTGTTTTAAGTAATTCTCATGAACCCATTTGATCCACAATAATTTCTTATTAATATGAATATACCATAAGCTTCTCAAAGCTGATGCAAGGTTCCATATAGAAACATAGAACACCCCCAAGCCACCTTATTTTTTTACCACAGCAAATCTTATCCCACGAAACCAATGGAACTCTAAAAGATTTTTCAGATTTCCCTCATAAAAACTCCCTACACAACTCATCCATTTTCATTGTGACTTTGACAGGAAGAATGAAGTTAGATGTCCAGTAATTTTAAATACCTAGAATCACACTTTTGATGATTTGTAATCTCCCTGCGTAAGAGAGATTCTTATGCTCTAACCACTTCTGAAAGTGCCCAGTATTTTATCAATGAGTGGATTGCAATCAACATATGTAAGTCTTTTACTAATGAGGGGAACTCCCAGATATCTGAAAGGTATTGTGCCTTCAGTAAAGCCCAGAAAGCTACTTATATCTGCTTTGACTGAATCATTCACCCCACCATAATATATAGAGCATTTGTCCAGATTAGCTTCCAGCCCTGTGGTGTTACTAAAATCCCTGCCACATTGATATAACTTTTGAACTGAATATAAGTCCCCTTTAGCAAATAGCAAAAGGTCATCCGCAAATATTAGATGAGATATTTTGAGATTACCACACTTTGGATGATATCTAAATAACCTGTCATTCTTTAACTGGTCTAATCTCCTTGAAAGGTACTCCATACCCAGAATGAAGAGATATGGTGAGAGGGGATTACCCTACCTTAACCCTCTCTCCCCTTTAAAATAACCATGGAGAGAATCATTGAGTGATATAGAATACTTAGGGGATGTTATACATGTCATAATCTAGTTAATCATCACTTTTGGAAACCCCAGCCCTTTAAGCATTTCTTTCAAAAAATTCCAATTGATTGTATCAAAAGATTTCCTTATGTCTATATTCAGCATGACCCTTGGTGAAATGTTCTTCATGTTATAGCTTTTAGCAAACTCATGAACCAAAGAGATATTGCTTGTAATTTGTCTACCTTTTACAAAAGCACTCTGGGCTTCATTAACAATGCACCCCATAAAAAGCTTAATTCTATTAGCCAGAATTTTAGAGATGAATTTATAAAGGCAATTGCAGCAAGATGTGGGTTTGAAATCAGAGGGGGATTTTGGACATTGTACCTTTGGTATTAGTGTAATGGAAGTAGAGTTTACCATACCCAACAATTTCCCACTCTTGAAGAACTCCTCAATAGCAAGTGAGACCTCCTCCCCAATTACAGGCCAAGCTGATTTATAGAAAGCTACACCATACCTATTAGGTCCAGGAGCCTTGTTATCATCCATTGAGAAGATAGCACTTTTGATTTCTTATTTTAAAACTAGACTAGAAAGAAAGAATTCTAGCTTGTGATTCATTCAAGCAAGGTCCAGATTGAATGGTATGAATATCAGGAGATAGAGTATCAGTAGTTGTTCCCATTAGGTCCTTGTAAAAAGACACAAATTCACTAGCAATCTCATCCTGATCGGAGATTCTTTGGCCCAAGCCATTATAAAGCACCAACACTTTATTATGATGTCTATTAGATTTAATTATTGAGCAGAAAAAGTTGGTGCACCTATCCCCTTGAACACTCTAATTGATTTTGGTTTTTTACTGGGAAAAGGATAACTCATAATCCAGGAGTTTGTTGTAGTTAGCAATACATTCACATTCCTTGTTAATGAAATCTGGGTTGAGAGGGTTAATATTAAGATTCCCTTGAGCTTCTTCTAGTACAATTCTAGCTCTCTGAACCTGTTCACTGATATTGTGGTAGTATTTCTTGTTAATGTCTTTAAGAGCCCATGTAGGCTGTCTAAAAATCACAATAGATAGCTGATCCCCTATCAAACACCGATGATAGAAGTTACAATCTGATGACTTCCAGAAGGCTATAATTCGAAGACTTTCACGTAGATCGATGAAGGTTATAATCTGACGACCTTCACAACAACCGATAAAAACTCTAGTTCAACAGCCTTCACAATCAACATTGGGAGTTACAATCTGACAACTCTCATATTTTCGAGCAGCCAAGGCAAAGGTCACTCAACAACGGTCTTTGCAACGCTCTAGCAAAAGAGACTACAAATCGACTCTCTTCAAGTCAAAACGCACGGGTCGGACCTGCGTTGCAACATCAAAACGCACGGGTCGGACCTGCGTTGCAACATCAAAACGCACAGGCCAGACCTGCGTTGCAACATCAAAACGCACGGGTCGAACCAGCATTATAACCTCAAAACGCAGAGGTCGTGGCTGCATTCCAGAGTCAAAACGCAGAGTTCGTGAACTTAAAACGCAGAGTTCATGTAGAGCCCAGCTCTACGTTTCAGAGTTCAGTACACTGTGCGACCTGTGCGTTTTTAGCCTAAAACAGGTCTAACTCCGCGTTTTGATGTCTAAAACGCAGAGTTCGGACCCAGAAAGCCCAGATTGGCATTTTGACTCGTTCAAAGCACAAACTGAACGGTTTCAAAACCGTTTTCCCTATGTTTTGGGGAGCCGTTTAAGGGGGGCGGTTACACCCCACTCAGCCCCATTTAGGAGCAAATTAAGGGGGCGGTTACACCCCCTTAATCCCTTATAAATACCTCGAAACTTAACTGAGTTCGGATCCTAAATTTTGGGGCAGAAAAGAAGAGATCTTGGCTCTCTCTCTCTTTGAGGGATTGCTGGCTTTTTGGGGAATTGCTGAAGCTTTGGAGATCAACCATCGGAGCTTTCTGCTGGCTTTGGCTTATTAACCAATTTTCGGTTCAAATCAACTCTTTTACAGAGTTCTTCTAAACTCATTCAGAGTTCTAAAACTTGCTTTTCAAGTTCTCCACAGCGTCAAACCGTGAGGAGATGACATCGTTCCAGTGAAGTAAAATATCGGATCATCAACGGAGAGCAAACTCGACGCGAGCATTCGAGGGAGGCACTCCATCGGCACTATGAAGAACCTAGAATTAAACAAAGGGAAGAATCCAGATCATTCTTTTCCCTTTTGTAATTAGAAAATCCAATTGTAACTAAGATTAAAGGAATACAAATCAAATTTTTTCCTTCGTTTCTTTTACTACAAATTTTTCCCACAAACAGCCCCTCTTAGTTGCTTAAGCTTCTTGCAAACTAAGAACATTTTTTATCCATCTACCTGAGATTGCCAGATTGTGGAAACAGTTGGGAGGAAACTATCATGTTTGGTCCACATTTTGAAGAACTTGAAAGGCCTTTTTCCCTTTAAGAAATCATCATATACAGATACAAGTGCAGGAGAATGATAAAAAAAGATTGGAAGTAAAAATTCTACCTGGCTAGAGGTGTACATGTGAACCCAAGCATCATTCACTAGAACTCTCTCTAGTCTATTCCACACTCTAGAGACATTATCTTGCTTGTTATTCCAAGTATAAAAGCATCATGTAGTTTTAAGATGATTCAAATGACAATCATCAATAAAATCTCTAAAATCCTTGATGAGTTTTTGAAAGTATTGAACCACCAAGCTTTTCCTCATTACTAATTACAGTGTTGAAATCACCACCCAGAAGCCATGGAGTATTCCCGATTGATCGGTATATAATCTTCAATTCTAACCATAAATCCTTTCTAACCTCCAATTGGTTATGCCCATTGTAGGCGTCAAAAATTACCTATAGGTTCCCGCATGCAGCTCGAGATGAAGTAAAGACGATGAATGTCATCATCTGAGTCATATGAGATTATTTGATGCCGTAAAGAAGCAAATGAGCGTACAAAACGAATCAGTGAAGCGTACGAGTCAACAAAATGTGCGAATGCACAATACGATAGGACAAACACAAGTCTGGAGGAGTCGGCACGCGTGAGTCAACTCAGAATGGACCGGCCAAGGCCGAGCCACCTCGAGGTGGCTCGCACTTCCAACTCTCTGACAACGTGTTTTTTGATGATTTCTCGGGATTTATCCGATCTACTACCTCCTTAACTACCTTAGGATCATCCCTAAATGTGGTTAAGCCGTTATTGACTGAAGATAAGATCAAATTATGAATTCTTATCCAGAAACACGATTGACTTTGATTCCTTTGATCTCGGTTACAATTTGATTACAAAAGAGAGGAAAACGAATTTGGTTTTCCCCTTTGTTTAAAACTGGGTTCTTCTTGGCAGCGATGGAGTGCTTCCTTCGATTGATTGCGTCGAACTTGCTCTCCGTTGACGATCCGACCGTCTTTATCTCGTGGGAACGATGAACTTTCGTGGAAAGTTTTATGAATAACTCTGAATGAGTTTAAGAACTCTGAACGAGTTTGAACTCTGTGAATAGAGTTGTTGGAACCGAAAATTCGGTTAAGGATCAAGCTGTTTTTCTGTTGTCGAAGAATCCTCTCAGATTTGATTTTCTGAGGTTGGTTCAAAAAATCCTATCTCCGAGGATTTCGTTGTTGTCGTTGCCGAATCTCCCCATCAGAGTGATTTTGATGATAAAGAATCCAACCTCCTGCTAAATCTTCTGTTTGCAAAGAGCCAGCCCCCCTAACTCAGTTGAGTTCGTTGAGTTTTTATAGGGGGATAAGGGGTTGTAACTGACCCCTATATCCGCTCCTACGTGGGCGAAAATCCCTCAGGACGTGGGATAAACGGTTTTGAAACCGTTCGACTCATGTTTGAGTGAGTCAAACGCCCAATCTGGCGTTCAGAACCTCAACTTCGTGTTCTTTGAATTGAGACGCGAAGTTGGGTGTTAGCTGAACACCATTGAACGCGAGGGTCGCTCGCGTTTTGGCTTGTTGCCTGCTTGGAAACGCGGGGGTCAATGTTGGTTGGACCCCTACGAACGCGAGGGTAGTGTCGTTGAATTGTAACCTTTCTCGATCTATGTGAAAAGTCCTCTATTTGCCGCTTTCGATCACCGACCCGAAAGCTATTTGATTGTAGCTTTTGTTGTAGGAGCTAGACGGGAATCAACATCCATAGTGTCTTAAAGATGAATATTCGCCCATAGCTCTCTACCAAGCAACTATTCGACTATATGTTTCGATCATCGACCCGAAAGCTATTTGATTGTAGCTTTCGTTGTAGGAGCTAGACGGGAATCAACATCCATAGTGTCTTAAAGATGAATATTCGCCCATAGCTCTCTATCAAGCAACTCACCAACTGAGTCCAACTTTTTATTTCTGAAATCGTCCCACTGCTCATCAGCATCTCTAATAGTTGCTATGATATTAGCCATGCTGTTGTCACAGCCATCAAGATCAATCATCTCAGAAGTGAGGTCGCGTTTGTGGCAATTGTGGAGTTGTGGATGCAGTGATTGGGAAGTCATCTGATTGTGACCTCCATTGTCGGAGCTTGTTTGAATAAGCTATCTATTATGATTTTTAGACAGCCTACAGAACCCCCTCCAAAGTTTTCGAAAGTTCGCGGTTGACTGGGACGAATTTTCGGAATACTTTGGATCCCAGAATTTGGTGGATTGATTGCTCTTCCCGCCTGATCGAGTCAGATGATTTCTCCGTTGTTGACTGTACTCTATCTGTACTCCTCCAACAGACTCCCCAGTGGAGTCGTTTGTTTCTTCCTGGCTTTGATCGCTTTGGTAACCAAGAAATTGCTGTTCATGGTGGTCTCAACACAGAGATGCCTTCTGCATTTGAGAATTGGAACGCGTGGGTGAGCCCAGTGTTGGGAAATTTGAACGCGCAGGTGA